TTGATCTCTAGTTTTTATTTTTATTTTTTGGTTCTGCTTTCATTAAGCTTAAATTGCTTTTCTTTCTCAGGTTCTTAAAGTAGAAGCTTGGATTACTGATGATTCTTCTTTTCTAATATATATATTCACTGCTATTCATTTTCCTCTAAGCACTGGTTTTGCTATATCCCACAAGTTTTGACAGGTTGTATTTTTATAAATTTAAGATATTTTAAAACTTCTCTTGAAACTTCTGTGTTATGGAGAAACATGCTTTCAAATCACCATAGATTTTGAGTTTTTCAGCTATCTTCCAATTACTGGTTTCCAGTTTAATTCCTTTGTAGTCTACCCACCGGCTGCAGGACCCCAGAGCCAGACCACTAAGTACTCACCTCTTAGGGAGCCTAGAACACAAGCACCCTCAATGCCCAAGTCTCTCACCACATCCATCAATCCAGGCCTCTTCTGACTGCTACCAGAAAACTATCAGAATTTTCTCAGCCACAAGAAGGTGTAACTCCCTCAGAAATGCAATACATCTTGGCAACAAGGGAAGTTCGAGAAGAATCCACCAGGAACTGCTGGAAATAATTTTCTTGGCAAGCGGGTGGCCATCGAAACCCATCACATCTCCTGTCCTTGAAGAGCTTTTCTCACCCTCCTATCTGCCATTCATCTCTCTCCTATCTCTTCACCACACTGCCCTGTGCTTGCTCTTCCCAATTTGCCCTCCAACCACGCCTCTTCATTCCAAATCTTTTTGCTAGGACTTTTGGAAATCAGATTTCAAGTTTAATACATTCTTCTATATTTTCAAACTCTTCAACAAAAATTCCCTATGTCTTCTATGCCTTCACTTCACTTTTTCCACCTGAAATTCCCAGAAGATACTATCATCCTTCTCTTTAGAAACCTCAAGACTTTTGGCAAATATTACATAAAGTCTCTTTACACAGTACTTTACACATCTCTTTCACTGATCATCATATCTGACGAACACAAGTCATTAACCGGGCAGATACCCTTCTCAAAGGAATGCTGAAGTCTTCAAGGAAACGTGAGCACTGGTGACAACATTTAAGTCTTGTAAGTGACTCCACAGATTTAGTTCTAAAATTCAACCTGCACAGGACGTACACCATTTAACCTTCCCAAAAATGAAAGGGTCCCAATTCCCACAAAGCAGGAATTTTTTTCTCCCTGATTTGTGTGACAAATAATCTATGTTAGTCTTTAATTGTATGTAGAAATAGGTTAGATGGAACACATTATACCACAGTCCTAACAACATACACTTTGCTGTGTAAGTACAACCTGTGAGAAGGAACACTAATGCAAGAAAGGTGTATAATCAGTTATACGCTGGCAAACAGCCAACTAAAAATGCATAGTAAAAGACAACAGAGGGTCTCAGAGAGTCCAGCCTTGAGATGCACTCTCTCCCCAGCTCCTATCCAAGCAACCAAACCCTTTTGTTGGTGGTTAACAGGCTAGCTCATCTGTAGGGGGCACTGACTGGCACACAATAGTACTTATGTTCTGCCTCACAAATGACTACACTTCATTGAGTTTATGCTCAGTAGAGCAGTGTTTGCAAACCACTTAGATTCCAGGACGGAAAGTGCTACAAAAATGAAACACCCAGTCCTTCTCTGAGGTTTGTTATTAGCCTCTGTTAGCCACAGGTTACAGGGCACTAAACACTGTGTACTGTGTGTTTGCTCGTAACCACTACGAAAAATAGCCTATAACATCTTTCTGAAGACTCCTAGAAAATTTTAAGTTAATTTAAAATCTGGGAATTTAACTGGGAAATACTTCAATTCTTAGAACTAGTTCTTGTCAAAATACCTCATTAATTCTTTCTTGGGTGTCAATCCAAATCTGTTTCAACCAACACTGTTCAACAGACGATTGCTGAAGTTTAATGCTACTAGGGGGGAAATGTGAACAGGGTGAAATAATCGGTTCCATTTGAATCTTAGTTCATTCCCAGCCTACAAGCAAATCTCTTTCTGGATATTAAGAAATGTTTTAAGAAAAATAGATGCATTAGCTTAATAGCCCAGGTATGTATACTATGATTCTTTCTATATAACATACATAAGATAGAGAACCTAAGAGAAAATCCTAAATATACCTTAAACTCATGTCCTTCCTCAAAACAGCCAGTCAAAACATCCTTTCTAAAAGATTTCCATCCTATAGCATGTATACCAAAATCCAAAGTATTCATGAGCAATATAAGCATCTACAAGAACTCTAGAAAAAGTACAGATCCACTTGGAAAAATAATTATATGACTACACAATATAAAGTGATTAAGTATATTAAAATACTATTAGAATGCTTCTGAAAGCAACGCTTTTGAAAAATAACATTCCCCCCAATTTATGGTAGTGAACTATAGAGAGCTTCTCTGGCTTAGATAAAAAATTTACATATGTTTTACAAAAGAAACTACTAGTAAATGTTCTTTATGTATTATGCATAATTTAGTTTAGAATCTCTGGAAAGCAGGGAAAATTTATATTATCATTAATTTATGATAATTCATTTTAATCATCTCAGAATTCCCAATTTACTGGCACAGTTTCATGGAGATGTTCATGAGCTTCCCAGAAATACTGTACTACATTGTAGTTTAATAAAACAGGACATATCCTTATAACATTCACAGAAATTGTAAAGTATAAATAATATAAACCACTATCAAAAGAAAAAAACATATCATATGTACCTTCAAAACAAATCTTATTTGACAAATACTAAGAAGGAATATAAATATAACATGCTCTTTCTCATAAGATATGAGGGACACAAGAAGAGAATAAAGACATCCTACCAAAGTCAGGTTCTCTCAGAAAAGATGACAACCTGGGGCACCTGGGTGGCTCAGTCAGTTAAGCATCCAACTTCAGCTCAGGTCATGATCTCACGGTTCGTGGGTTTGAGCCCCGCATCAGGTTCTGTGCTGACAGCTAGCTCAGAGCCTGGAACCTGCTTCGGATTCTGTTTCTCCCTCTCTCTCTGACCCTCCCCTGCTCACGCTGTCTCTCTCTCTCTCAGAAATAAATAAAACATTAAAAAAACTTTTTTAAAAGATGACAATTTTTTAATTTCTACAAATTTGACCAATAAAGCCTGATTGTTAAGCAGTTACATAACACCATAAAATATGCAGGATAAAAAAATTATTTAAAAGAATAGCCACAAACATTGTGAATGCACTAAATGCCACTGATTACATACTTTTAAAATGGTTAACTTTATATCATGTCAATTTCACATCAATAATAGTTTTATATATAATTTTATATTAATAAACTAAATTAATTTACATAAATCAAATAATAATTTTTTAATGATCTGAAGGTAAATTTAAGAGAATCCAAATCATGAGCATTATAACCTTCAATTTTTAAGTGAAAAAAAAATTCGTTAATTGAATTTAAGATTCTTAAAATCTTCCTGTTCTCCACTAACTCTAGATAAATCTAAATAATAAAAAGTTACTTTATTTGATATTTAGAGTCAAATATTATGAGAAACTTGACACATCTAATCCAATATGCAGCCTTGAAGGTATACTTTAATGGACAAAGAGGAAAGAGACTACTATTTTCAAAACCCATGTTACAAAGCAGGGGGGTGAAATAAGAACTGTGGCTTCCCACAAATCTCTGTCCAGAAATTTCTCGTTAGCTTAATATCTACTTTGAATGTAATCAGTTAAAAACAGAAAAAATTAAACAAAAAGCCAGACATGGAAATCTTAAGACTTACCTTTTAAGAGAAAAATGAATATGCATAAAATACTAAGTCATATGTTGCAAGTGAAAATGCTAAATGAGCAAAAAGATTTTCAGGAGACAAAGAACAGTGCAGAAGAAAAAGCATAGAAAAAATAGTTCTAAGAGCCAAATCCATATTTTAACAATGCAAAAACCAGTACTCAAGGGCCTTCACAAATGATTCAAAACCATCAGAGCTTCATGTACTCTTCTCTGAATACTTTAGAAAATAATTCAGAATCTATTTTCCATCCAAAAGTAGGGCAATGGCATATGCCAGGCATCAGGCATCATACAGAACAGTGCTTAACAGTCTGACTTTGTCTCCTTTTTGTCACTTCTTATAAGCAACACAGTTCCACATAACCACAGTAAAATTCTCCCACTTAAAACATTAAACTCCAGTAAAGAACCAAATAAGGATAATGGCTATTACCCCCTTTAATGCTTCATGATGGCTTAAAAGAAACACTCTAGATGGAGAAAAAAAGCAAAAATAAATAGCATGTCAAGAATTAACTTTTTAAAATATATCACTACCATGCATATTTTCTATTTGCGTAATGATTTAACAATATAATTTATAAATTATGTCTACATAAGCTCATGTTGTGAAAGAAATTTTTGTTATATAATTATTTGAGTGATTTTTCTCCCTCTAAATAGATTTTCTCCTGAAAAGTTACATTTATTATGTTAAAATATTGTATGTGCTTCATATATAATTTTTCATAGTTTGCTCATATATTGATATATCTGTTAAATCTGAAGAATTATAAATATTTAGTAAACTATTTCATAGCACAAAAATATATAAATATGCTTTTTGTCTTCGCAACTTAAAATGAAATGAAATTTTCCCCTTCTATATTTTTCATTCAGTTTACATATTCTGAAAGTAGTCACTAATACCAAATCAGCTAATAAATATATCACTTATCATGTATTTATTTAACTGCTGACAATAATATCTAACAATATAAGTAAGCTTAAAAAAGCTATTAGAGTCACACTAGATCCCTGACCCAAATCTTTCCAAACACAATTTGGGGACAATGAAACCAAAGGATTAGCACAAAGATAAAATCAGTCTCTGCACATATCAGATAAAAATCAAGTTATAGTTATAGTGTGTGTGTGTGTGTGTGTGTACATGTGTGTACCCAGTTGTACGTGCTTGTGAGAGGAGTATTTTAGTACTGGAATAATCACAGAACATCATACCTGTGCTCCATAGATATATTTATCCAACATCTTGCCTCCTATTGTCTGTCCTCCTATATCCCAAACTTGAAGAGTAACATTCAAGTTTCCTTAGAATATAAAAATAAGAACGCAGAAAAGGTAAGAAACAAAATAACACAGTTACAGAATACTAAGTCACAACGATAAACTGTGAATCTATTTTGCCTTTTATTCTGCATGCTCATATGATCAGATATTTGGAACTGTGAAATAATGTTGCCAAAAGATACCATACTGGGGAATTTAGGTTTATACTTTTACCCCATGTCTACAGAACCATAGTTATTATCACCTTCAAAAGAAAAGAAAACTTTTATTCATAAACTTCTTAAAACTTAAAAAAACAGCAATTTTCTTAAACAGAGAATAGAACAATAAAGCACTTATATGTGGGGTAAAAAAATATTACTTAAAAAATAAAAACAGAACCTTATATACTAACCTACCATATAGCACATAATGAATTTCGCTGTAATCTAAACTCTATAGCTAATATTCACAGATTAATAATAGATTACAAAAATGGTCCCAGAGTTTCAGCTCAAATTAATGGACTTTTAAAATGTGAACATCACCTATTAAATGCAATAGTTAACATAATTTTAAAACATGTTTTCAAATTTAACCTATAAAATATAAACACATATGATTGCCCTCTTCATAACAGACACAGGATAGATACCAAGTATATCACTAAGAATTATGATACATTTATAACTGTTCGAAGAATTTCCAGCCAAACAAATTATTACATTTGCTTCAAAGCCTTCATAAAATGTTGTAAATCTTGCCCACACAAGCCTAATGAAAGCACTTTAAAATACTAAAAAGCAATCTTAAAAATTATTTTGTCTACTTTGCAAAATATTTGGCTGATTGAAAAATTTAGGAGGTAAGCTATTCTTTCTTATCAATGCATAACCCTAAAGTAAAAGACCATGTCCAACATGCTTTTAGTTTAACATTTCAAATTGTTTCTCCTAATAAAACTATACAGTTTTCTCCAAAGGTAGACAAAGTCTCAATTAGTACCTTCAAAATGAGCTCCCATACTAAAAATATCTTTCTGATTGATTTGCAAATAAGGAAAACTCAAAATAAAAAAAGACAGTAAAAAATAAATGGTCTTGCTTCAAAAGCAACAGGAAAGATTATAAAGACATGAATTTTTATACCAACGCAAATCACAAAACTTGGAGAACGTCAGTCACACCATTCAACTGAAAAGCAAGGACACGCTGGGTTAACTACCCCTGTTTTATTCTTGACTGTAAGTCTTGTTGGGTTTGTAATACAGTCTTTCCATTATTTTGCCAATGGGCAAAGGATTGACATGGGGAACTTCCATGAGCATTAATGAGAGCTCCTGAAGTTCGTCATCATTCGTCATCACTCCCACATGCACACACTTTCAATGCTTGCAGAATAATGACAAAAATGTTCTTAACGCTCTATGAATATGAAAACTAAAATGTCACAGACTAAGACTGTATCCAATACCTGGGATAAACCCACTTACTTAAAAATCAAAAATTTTCAGGGCACCTGGGTGGCTCCATCGGCTAAACATCCAACTTCGGCTCAGGTCATGATCTCACAGTCCGTGAGTTCAAGCCCCACATCGGGCTTTGTGCTGACAGCTCAGAGCCTAGAGCCTGCTTCCGATTCTGTGTCTCCCTCTCTCTCCTCTGCCCTTTCCCCGCTCATGCTCGGTCTCTGTCTCAAAAATAAATTTTAAAAAACACTAAAAAAATCTAAATTTTTCAAGATTCAAAGCTGAACTCATCCTCCTCTGATGTGTTCTCAAATTAAGCTGGGGAGAAAGGGCAAGAAGTCACTAGAACTATGTCAGACAGCTTCAGAAGCCCCTAGATAAACAGGCAATACTCTATTCAGCTTACTTGCACACTCTTACAGTCATTTATTTACTTCAAACAAATAGTGCTTAACAATATTAAGTTTCTTATAGGATTTTAGGCAACACTTAATTAAAGGCACTTAATCTCATTTTCTTCAAGGCAAATAACTCCTATCACTTAACTTCATATCAAGAAATATAAAGCTTTTTCTTCCTTTACATTCTGACAGTGAGATCCTATCTGAATTAGTTATTGTGAACATCTTAACTACAACTTTAGGAACATGGCTTTCATTACTATTTCCTAATTCTGACTATATCATTTGAAGACTCTAAACTTTTTATTCAATTGTCTTCCATCCAAGAAGTTTTTATTTATATTCATGTGTTGCAGGTATTTTTAAATCCACACCTTTCCAAATAAACAGCGTTGGTTGTTGTTGGCTTATTTCTTTACTATTTCTTATTTCTTTAATATACATATTCTAGTGCCTCAGAAATAAAAATAGTTAGGCATTACTGATAACCCACAATGCTAGCCAAAAGGGGAAAAAAACACTTTTGTTATCATTATAGCTTCAACAAATGATACTAACTTCCTATTTCTTTCATATATCTAGAAACATATTTTTAACTTCCACATTTGAATTTTAGGCTTATTGGCACATAAAAAGAAAAAGAAATGGAAGTTCTTTATCTAGGAAACGAAATCACATATGGATGAAATTCAAGTCAATATTCATTTTAGTTTTCCCAAACAATAAACATATAAAGTCTCCCAAGTATATTTTCAAACTGTCATACCTAACAACCTACATATGAGTAGTCAAGTAATCAATACTATAAAATTTTTAAAAACTAAGAATCCATCTAACATAAATTTCCAACTAATAACATTAAGGAAATTGTCAGCAATCTAATCTCGAATGTAAAATGCTACAAAATTCCTGCTCCTCGTTAAGAAATGACATGTAACCAGGGAAAAAATAAAATAAATGAGGTGACAAAATACAGGTAAGTTGCTCTTGGTATGAATCAAAGCCACCACGAGGATTCAACGGTGACCTTGTAAAAGTACACTTGGTGCCTTGGTTAACCTTACTTAAAGTGCTGCATAGTCAAGATGGAACTAAAAACACAAGCCTGCCCACTTCTTGTACTAAAGCCTTAGAAATCCTTCTCACAGTAGAACGCTGTTTACTGGACTGTACCCACAAGCTTCCTGAAAGTATTTTGACTAAGGCTCTTAAGAAGCTCTATCAGCAGAATCTCTGACTAACAGATACACTATTTTAAGCAGTAAAATCTGCACAGTGGTTGCATCCAGACTATACAGCATACCGGAACATGAAATATACTAAAATGTATGAATATTTACAAAGTAATGACCTTGAAAACTTGCATGAAGAGAATGTCAATAGATGGACAGGAGGTATTACACCTCTAACAATCTGAATGGACAGAAGACTTACTAGAATACTTAATAAACATGAGACCTGCCTATTACACTCTTTACTATAAATTCAACAATGCTGTCCGTAATGTTTTAGCAAATGATACAAATATTAATCATTCTACATTTGACACAGTTAAAATTAAGGCTGAAGTATATAAAAGATATACTATGAATTCTGTAGTTTATTTATCTTATTTGTTAATGTACTATTAATTGTATAAAATCAAATTATATTAAAACAATTTTTCCTACTGAAATTTCTAACATAATTTTGAGTCTATTAAGTAGCATAAAACTAATTGCCTTTAAAAAAATTATTTTTATGAAACCCTACCCATCAAAATAAAAACCTAATCAGGAACATTAAAATATACATTCATTAGGACTATCAAATTTCCTAATATCATTTTTAATAGAAGTACTTTTGAACTCTAAAATACTATAAATTTTGATTTCAAAAGATACCTAGTATTTTTACAAAGTTATCAAAACTTTAAAGTTGGTCACACTGTGCAACAGATCAGAAATCACCATATAGATATCACATATATAAAATGTCCAAAACCAATCTTAAAGTATTTTTTATCTCTGAGTGGTGCTTATTCCTTTATTTAATCCTTTGAACTAAAAATGTCAGAAAAACTAAATAATATTAATGGTACAGAAAGCTGATGCTTTTGCTGATTAGCATCATAAACAGTCAATAATTATATATAAAGTTCTGTATACAATTGGCATCTGTGAAAAAACTGCTGCAAAAAATAAGCTTCCAGCCTGTATATTACGTGATCTGAGCATGTATTCTGCTAGTGACTGCTGTAAAAGTTCTGAATGTAGCACTGACCTATCCATACTAGTGAGAATGATAAAAATAAAATGAGATTTTCAGTTTTGAATACATTAAAAGTAAATACAAATGACACAAAATATACATATGTTTCCCATTAAGCCTCTTGCTTATAACTTAGAATGGAAAGTGGAAATTCTTTTTGTCACACTATATCTTTCAATTTATTCTTCATTGGTAGCTGCCTTCAGTCACAAAATATAATAGAGTATATTACTAGTGAGATACACAGAATGCCTTCCACTACCAAGAGTTTTCATTAGCTGCTCTAAAACTTTCATGAAGAGTTGTCTGATAGATGGGGTGCTTGAGAGGTTAACATATTTCAGTAATATTGGAATTTATTAAACCCCTTCCCACTATATCACTCATGCTCCAATATATGAATCTGACACTACACTTGCAACCGTTTTTATTCAAATGTGTTTCCTCAGAGGGGAGAGGGATGGTCTGGTTCAGAAAGTCAATCAAGATAAACTGCTTTTAATAAAATACTTTAAACATATAATTTAACCATCACAAATGAATGGACAGAGCATTTTAAAGCCCCAATTGTTCAGAAACTAACTTAAAACAGAAACCACTCTCTTTTTGTTATTATTTCCCTGTATTTCCCACAAAATGTGCTGCAACTGGCATCTAAATAGTTTCTTTGCATGGTGAACTGAAACATCTTGAATGCTCAAACTGTATTTTTATGAGTGCCTAGGGACCCTAAATTTTAGTGGTCTATTAAATGCCAGCAATTTCATGCTGCCTTGCATAAAACAGCATTCACATATTAGAGCACAGAGGTTCCATAGCTACATTATACTTCTCTTCCAACTTTCTCTCAAACAAAAAACTGAAGCAAAGGCTAATCAAAATAATATTTAAAAAAAAATAATCCTTCCCGGTCTTTTCACATTTAGTTTATACAATATCTGTTTATAATTGTATAGCATTTGATTTTTTTTTAACTTTTTAGAACTTTATAAACAACTATTGTTTATCCTCAAAAAATGTAGAGTGGTCAAAAACAGCAGGAGAGTAGGGGAGTATATATAAACTTTTCTCTCACACCCATGGACAATACATCCGCATGGTAGATGCTGATGAAAGTTAACCTCCTAAAATTGATTTGCTAATTATATATATTTTCATGCAGAAGCAGCCCCCAAATTTATTTTACACATTCCTCCCTATGTCTCTTATTGTAAGATATATACAATTTACTATGTTAACACTTTTTAGTCTCTTACCTGGCAAAGTTATCCTTCTCAGAAAGAAATCCAGTCCTATAGTTTGTTTGTACTGTTTCCCAAAAGTTTCTTGAGCAAAACATGTAGCCAAGGAGGTCTAAAAAATTGATGCATAGAAAACCAAAATTAATGTCTTTGTTTTAGAAATGTAAACATAAAATCACTACTAAACCTTATTAAGTAATCTTAGTATTTATATTCCCATTAATCCCACAAGCAACTTTAAGCAGTTCTAGTCAGTTACAAGGGGAGGAGGGATTTAACACTCTACCAGGTAAATTTCACTTGCAACTATCAGTGAGGACAAAAGACTAATCTTTAGATCTCTTTAATCCCCTGAGAGCCAAGCTCCTTCTGCTGGAAATCAGAATTTGAAACATATCAACAAGAAAACTAAAACAACATGACTAAAGATGTGAATCTTATTTATCCAAAGATATCAGTTAAATACAAATTTCAGATAATTCTAAGTTTCATTTCTGAAGTTAAATATTCTGAGTATTTGTGCCCTCGGCCAATAACAAGAAGTACTAATTAAAAAGGGGAAAAGACTGTTTATATTTCTTTTCTTTTCTCCCCACAAAAATGTATCTTTAAATGTTGAACTTTTCTCTACATTAAAGATGTTAATTGAAAATGATCCTATAGAATGACTGTGATAATATTTATCTTTAAAATTAAAAAGCATTTTAATACTAATATTATAGGCAAAAATAAGCATTTTCCATCCAACAACCATAAAGATTAAAAGTCACAAGAATATTACAACCAGTACAGATATATATATCTACATTTTTTAAAATAACTCAAAGTTGTATTCGAAACTCTGGAAGTATCATTCCACATCAAAGTAGAATCATCATCATTCTGGTAACAATTGAAATAACTCAATAATTTAAAAGCTTCTTAAACATTAAATGTGCTATTTATTTGTACACTTCACCAAAAAGGAGAAAGGCAGCTTCATGAAGCTTTTATGCTTTTTAAGCAAGACTCCCAAAGCTAAGTGAAAATAACCCTTTTTCACTTTGAAAGTTAAAATTAGATGTCAACTCCCAAAATAATGAAAACTAAAATAAAATTTCCAAGATAACTTGGTATAATCAATTATGACATAAGTGCAGCAACGCAAAAGAAAACTTGGCCACATTTCACTTCCTTCAAACAAAGAGACCTAAAATTCCTTTCGACACAAGAACCATATTTTTCACACAAATAACCATTTGCACACCCTAACTCCAATTCTTTTGTTATTTAAATACTCAGCACTTGTAAGAAATTTCTAAGATATTTGGTCAAATATTTATTGAACACCATAGGAAAGAGGTTCTGCCAGGCACTGAGAAATAAACTCAGTATACCCAAATGAAAATTTATTTGGCTTCCCTGAACAATAATATAAAAACTGAGAGATTGGAATAAAAAAGGTAAGCATGCCTTTTTAAAGCTTTTTGGGTTTTGTTTTTCATTTAGCTTTATTTATGCCAATGTAGAGTACAAAATCTCTGTTAAGAGGCTCAAAGTTCTAGAGAAAAATACCACTATTTAGTAGATGTTTCAAAATCTTTAACATAGAAATGGTTGATATACTTTTATAAGACAAAGAAAAATTCAAGGCATATATAACATTGGCATTGTGCCATTTAAGGTAATTTTTCCCCTTCACTTAAGGTTTTCAAAGTTCAGTATTTTTATATTAATGAATATTTTAAAAAATTTGAAGGTTCTTTTCTTGGAAACTTCAAGATTCTGAAGGCCCTACCCTCATACTTTGAGGCAAACATAAAGCTAGGATTTTTTTTTTTTAATAAAGTATAATGTGTCAAAAGCACAGGCCACTGGGAACACAGAATATTAATATGTGTTCTTACATCATATCTAGACATACTGTAAAAATTTAACAGAGAATCAGCTAAATCAGTGGTACGCACTTCCTCAATCATCTAGACTTTCTGCTCTCTTTCATACTCAAATAAGTTCTTGCAAGTCATTATAGAAACATCCTTCTTAAACAATTATGAAGTGAACAAACATCTACCAGATCTGAAACAGTTTTATCTGATTCTTTATATTGTTTGGTGAATTTCTGCTAATAATTTTTACCAATGCTATATTTACTAATACCAAAAAAAGACCAAAAAAGAATATTTTGCCTCAAAAAAATCTTAAGAAACATGCAATAAAGTCCTAAGTATGCATCAAAACAGAAAGACACAGAAACACATGTTATTAGGAAGAGGAGCTATATTTCTCCTAGAGAAATTGTTAGTGATTATCTCAATACTCCACTGCTTCCGTCCATGTACATCTAAATGCCAGGAGTTAAAACTAACAAGAAAATATAATGCTAGAAAAACAGCCAAGAGTAGAATCAGGATACAAATAAGAATGAAAGAGAGGCTGAATTCATAAAAGGAATAGTAAAGGAAATAGAATGGGAACGTTGATAGCTGCCAATAACTTGAGAGCTGAACAGGTTACGGAGGAGAAAAAAAGCTTGATATACCCATAATGATGTTTCTGATATTTGTGTCTGAGAAATCCCTGGCAGAATATGTCTTTAGAGTTTTAAAATAGATTAGTCAAGATGACAGACTCAATCAGACCACGATAAAGAGTTATCACTGTTACCCTTTGAAGCAGAATGACAATCCTGATTCAACAATATGAAAGGGAGAAAAATTATGCCTTGTCCTACTAGACGGAATTTTAGAAAGAGATGAAAAACTGTAATTATTCATATTAAATTAGCAATAAGGAAAAAAACATGGCAGGCTAAATAAAAAACTCAGATACATAATGATGAACAAACTACAACTGAGTAACATCTGTATGAAAACTGATACATACTAGGAGGGAAAAAAATGAACAAAGTTTCAAGAATTATGATAGAAATGGGGAAAAGGGCAATTTTTGTCTCTTTTAACAAGTGTATTGGTGCTATAGACTGTCATTATGACTTAAAACAGGAAATAAATTCAGTTATGAGCTGCCTGTAAAAAGATTTAGGAAATGAAAAATTAGAAGGTCTTCAAAAGGAACCTAAATAAGAAAACTATACAAATATACAACCTAATTTTTTTTTTATTGAATAAGAGTGTTAGAAACAATGCCGGTTTATTTAATACAATTGAACTATTCAAAACGTTGTTTCCCCAAAACCTTCAAAGAGGGCATGAGGTCGCTTTTCCTCAGCAATAAAAATGAGTAACAAGATTTCCATCCGGGAAGGCAGAAAGAAATTAACGGAATGCTCCCAATGTTGCGTACGAATGCCACCTCTCCCAGGTGTCCCAGGAGCCGAACCCTCAGAACCAAAGCCAGGCGCAGTTCGCAGTGCCAGCTGCCAGGGAAGGTGCAAAGGGCAGGCGTCCCTACAGAAGCCAGGGTCCGAACCACACGGTCAACGGGGCTTCGGGAAGCCGGAAACGAGGTAACAGTAACAACCTGCGTTTCTGCAGACTCTGGCTGGGAGCGGGGCGAGGAGCAGAAAGGACACAGACTTGAGCAATATTCCCAGAAACAGGGTGGGCGCCTTTGACCGAAGCGACAGGTGTGAAGGCACCCCGGGCAGCAGCTCTTGGCTTCATTTAGGGGATAGTCACTGACCCTCTGAGATCCCACGGACCCTCACCAAAGAGCAGGTACCGAGACACGATTCTACCATTTCGGGAGCTCCACGACCCAGAATTTAAAACCCCAGCCTAAGAAGTGAGGACACTGGCTGTCGGATGTTCTCACGCGCTCAGGCTCAAGCAACCGTCACCAAAGACGAGACCCTAAGCAGGGACCCCCTCTGGCAGGATGGCAGCCGCACCCCGCAGCATCCAGCCCTTCCGAGGAGCTCCTCGATGTTTGTTGAATGACTGCTTGTGCCGACAGGTGCTGTGCCAGGAGCAGAGACGAACAGGTACGATGCTACAAAACTGCGACTAGCGTTTCCTGGGTGCCCACCGCGTTCTGAAAACTCTGTGTGGATTTTCACGTTGAATGTGTATTTGCACACTGCACCCTCTGAGGCGGCCCCTATCAATACCCACCTTACCGATGAGGCACAAGTAGGTGAAGAATTTGCCCTCCGCTGTCCCGACCAGTTAGTGACGGAGCCCCGGGGCCCACCCAGGGACTCTGACTCCAAGAGCCAGTGCTTGGGAGCCGCCAGTGCAGCGGTGGTATCCGAAACCGTAAAGCGAATGGGGGTGCAGAGATCTGGGGGGAGGGGGGCTCAGGGGACGGAGGCACAGTGTGACCGGGACCAAAGTAGAAACAGGTAAGATGGCCCTGGCGGATCTCGGGGGCGAGAAGCTGGAAAGCTTCCCAGGAGGGCGATGCTGGCCCGACTCTTGAAGAAGTGGGAGTTCGAGATCCAGGCAGGGAGCCGGGAACTTTTTTTTTTTTTTTTTTTTTAATTTAAGGGGAGCTGGACAGCTCCGTCAGCCTTCACCCGGCGCCCGCTTGGTGTCGGGCCCCAGGCCACACGACCAGGCGGCCCCCGCCCTCGGGGTAATGAGGCGACGCAGAGGGGCGCGGAGGAGGCTGGGGTGCCAGGGCCGCGCCGGGGTTCCTGCAGGCCAGGGGCGGCGGGCCCGCTGGAGGACTGACCTTCCCGGAGGTGCCGTCCCCCAGCACGACGATTTTCAGTTGCCGGTCCTGGCTCTCCTCCTCAGAGTCCGACATGGTGTCCCGGGAACCAGGCCGGCCCCCCCACCCCCACCCCGAGGCAGAGGGAGGAAGGAGAGGAGGGGGTCTCCGGGGGCGGGGGAGAGGAGGAAGGGCGACAGCGGGGGCACGACCCCCCGCCCCGGTGTCTCCGCGGCCGCTGGACGTATCTGGGGAGAATCACTCGCCGGGCGCCATCTTGCCCGCCTCCCCTCCCCCCTGAGCGCGGCCCCGCCCCCCGCGCGCTGCGTCGGTCGCGCACCCCCGTCTCTGCGCCAACCCGCGCCGACCGCGAGCGTCCCCGGCGAGCCGGCCCATCCGCCGGCCCGCGATGGGGGAGGCATTCGAACCGAGCAGGCGAGACGGGCGCTGCTCTCGCAGGGGCGGCTGTGAAGAAGAAGAAAAATAAAATATATCGCCCAAACCAGGTAGGAAAGTGGGAGCCGAGTAGCTCTCAGACGTTCCATCATATTTTCCTGCTTCCATCACCTCCTGAGTAGGTCCCCGAAGCAAATGGTTTAGTCCGAAGCGGGGGGGGGGGGGGGGGGGGCGCGTAGCTGCGGAGCCGCGCGCCGCGGTTGCCATGGGAGCCGGGAGAGGCGGAGGGACGGTGGGGCGGGGCCTGTCTCCAGGCGCCGGGAAGCGGGTAGCGAGGGGCCGCGCGCTCGCGAGGGGCCCCTGAAGGTGCTGTGGGCGCCCGCGGTGGGCGACCCCCGAGGAGTGTGGACGCCGCGGAGGTAGCCCAGGATCGCGCTGCCTTCGGGGGAACAGCGATAGTGGCCTTAACGGAGTTCTGGCGCTGTCTTTTATTTTGACGTCTCAAACCGTGGATTTTCTCCACCGAACAGCATCCGAGGGTTCATTCATCCTCCAAGTTAGAACAGCAGTTCTCAAAGTGTGTTCCGAGACACCCTTGCGGGGACGGAGGGGGGCGGTCCAATAAAGTCAAAACTATCTTCATAATAATGCAAACACCTTTTTGCCTTTTCCGCGTTCCTTCTCTCACGAGTGTACATTTTCCAGGGGATGCATGATGTGTATGATATTACTACTCTGACAGGGAAGCATGTGCTTGTTATGAAGTTTCAAACATTTCTTAGTATTAATTGCAAAACGGTCATGATAACTATAACTTACATAAACATGAGCTCTTTGGAGTCTACAATAATTTCTAAGAGTATAGACAGGCCCTGAGCCCCAAAAGTGTTAAGAACTGCAGTCCTAAGTGATCTCAGTCCATTAGGGTAGGTGAAAAGACATCTTGAAAATTTAAATATAGTGTGATAAATTCTACGATAATAATGCCAACCTACTCCTATGCTTGTCTCGTTGTTAACTACTTTACAGGGATTATCATGGTTCATTCCTCATGGGAACCGTATAAAGTAGGTAGAATGATCTCATTTTACAGATGAGTGAGCTTCAGGCACAGAAAAGCTTAGCTCAGAGGCAGTGGTCCTGGCAAGAATATAGGAAGTAGAATAGGAAAGCAGTACAGTTTTGGGAAGTGCCCAGCCCTAGAATTCTAATCACAGACCTCCACACCTAAATGTGTGACCTTGAACCACAGTTTCCTTATCTACAAAATAGAGGAATTACCTCCTTCATAAGACTGAAAATAAAAATGAAGGAATCAATGTAAAGTAACAGCACAATGCCTGGCATATACTAGTAAGCACTCAATATTAACCAGTGTAATTTTTAAAATATTTATTCAATTTTGAGAGACAGAGACAGAGCACGAGTAGGGAGGGGCAGAGAGAGAGGGAGACACGGAATCTGAAGCAGGCTCCAGGCTCTGAGCTGTCAGCACAGAGCCCCACGCGGGGCTTGAACTCAGGGACCTGAGATCATGACCTGAGCCGAAATTGGATGCTTAACTGACTGAGCCACGCAGGCGCCCCTTAACTGGTGTAATTATCATCTTCATCATCATCATTAACTATGGTCCATATTGGAGCATCGCTGCTTTGACTGGTTTCTTATGAAGAGTCTAGTCTCTTCGTCTGTAGATAGTGTTAGTTCATGATAGTAACTACCCAGTTTCTAGTATTTTCCCATACCTTCCCTACTTCCAACCACCACCGCCAACTACCATCGCCACAAACAACTTCCTACATCACTAGGTGTGTTAATGAGAATCAGAAGGAAAAAGTTCCTCAAAGGGCTTTGCAAAGTTATTTGCAAATGTTAGTGTGAGGAATCTGTTTCTAATGAGAACAGATTTAACCCCTTCTAGTCCATGAAGGAAGTTAATCTTGTAGAAATTTGCTTTTCCGCTCATCCTTAATGGAAATGATTGTGTAACCCAGTTCTGATCAATGAGACAGAAGAGGATATCCTTTGGGAAACACCTGGAAAAGATCTTCCTCCCTGATAAAAAAGAAGAAGAAGAGAAGAGATGCGGGGGAGGGGGGAATATCTCCCCCTCCCTTCCCTTGCTGTCATTATTTGGATGAGGACATAATATTTGGAACTGCCACAACCTTCTTCAGCCCAGTTTCTGGGCTTCTTGTTCTAGGGCACTTTGGCGATGCATCGCATTACTTACAGATAGAAACATCCCCCAACTGGCACGACTACTTTGGCCAAAAACTTGATTTAGTTAAGGTCATAAGATCACTTTTCATGTGTGGCTTCATATGAAAGGAAATTTAGGAGAAAACGTTGCCTTTTCCTATCATCAGTTTTCGAGACAACTGCTTTGATGGAAAGACATCACTTATTTGGATATGGATTCATCCCTGAGTGGTCCTACTACATGAAACAAGTCAATTGCATTGTTTTAGTGACCACATTTTATACATCTATGGCAAAATTCCAGATTGAAAATTAGATTTGAAGACTTGGAGCCATATCTGTAAATTAAAGAGAAAAATAATATCCCTCTTGTGTGGAGAAGCAGGCTAGCTAGCACTGAAAGCTTCTAGTATGGTGTGTGACCAGACTACAGAGACATAGAGCTGATCGTGGAAAAGAAAATGTTTCTGTGGAGCCTGTGTGAAACACCCACAACAGGGCCATAAATGAGAGGAATCTTTTTCACTGGTTATAAAACCAATAAATTAACAAATGCTTAAAGAGGAATTCCAGAAATTTCAGGAGATTAGGGTTCTTTAGATACGAAGAAGTAAAGTATTTACACAAGATAAACCTGACTGCTATCTGCTACCACCTTCCCAACTAATTTTTAAATACCTTTTCTAGCATTCCTTCCTAAATTCATCTAAATTTTGTTGGAATACATCCAGAAACAAGGAGTTTATTCCCTCATGAAGCAACTTGGACCAATAGGTCTAGTTATTAGAATATTCTTTCTGAGATAAACTGAAGCCCTTCACTATAAATCCCAACTAATGATATCACATATCTTTTGGGGTAAAACAGAACCCCCCCCATTCTAAAAGAAGGTCTTCAAGTTTATTCATTATAATTAATGACTTATTTGACATATATTAAGTGAATGACTACTATGTGCCAGACGTTCTCATTCACACTGTTTTAAACAATGAGAACACCCAAAATACACAAAGCCTCTGCTCCCATGGAACTTGCAATTTGAATAGTGACTGTCCCACAGATATCAGGTCCCAACCTCTGGAACCTTATAAATATCACCTTGTTCAGAAAATGTATCTTTCTGATGTGATTAAATTAAGGATCTTGAGATGGACAGATAATCCCGGATTATTGGGCTGAGTCTTTTTTTTAATTAAAATTTTTTTGATAGTTTATTTTTGAGACAGAGACAGAGCATGAGCAGGGGAGGGGCAGAGAGGGAGAGGGAGACACGGAATGGGAAACAGGCTCTATGCTCTGAGCTGCCAGCACGGAACTTGACGCGGGGCTCGAACGCACGAACCGGGAGATCATGACCTGAGCCAAAGTCGGACGCTTAACCAACTGAGCCACCCAGGTGTGCCTGGGCTGAGTCTTAAATGCAATCATACGTACCGTTATAAAAGAGAGACAGAAAGAAATTTGATCCGGACAAAACGAGAAGACAATGTGACCATAGAGGGAGAAACTAGGACGATAGAGCACCAAGCTAAGGAATGCCAGCCACCACCAGAAACTGGAAAAGGCAAGGAAAAAATTCTCCCTGTAGGGCCTCTGGAGAGAGTTCAGCCCTGTCCACACCTTGACAGCAGTCTAGTGAATGCTGATTTAGCATTTATGGACTCCAAAACTATGAGAGAATAAATACTGTATTAAGCCATCAAGTTTATTATAAATTGTCACAATGGCCACAGGAAACTAATCCAAGAAGGAACACAGATATTTCATACATCAATAGGAAAATCTTAGATTCAGGTGAAAAAGATACTGAAACAGTCAACAGATGGAATTAAGAGTAACAGTATAAATATCTGAACATTTTGTTTATCACCAATTAAGGTGAAAAAAATGGTAAGTGAATTAACAAGTAAACTGATTTCAAAACCAACAATGAGGGCCATCATTTTAAATCCAATAGCCATCCATTAATTTTCTGACATCTTTTTAAATATTTCACAATGTTGAAGATGCAGGGTTTAGGATTAAAGCCCAAGTGAAAATGGATCGGGGAAAAAAGGTAAAATATTGTTGAGTAAGGCAGAACAATGGCCATGCTTTCCGCTTGGGCATTTGGTATTACTGTATTTCTGCTGAAAACATAAGAAAAGTATAGAAATGATCCACAGGATTTATTGGTCCATTAAACTCAAGCCCCTCTTCCTGAAATTCTCTTCTCCCTTGGTCATACACATATACACACACATACAGGCATGTGTATGCATGTGTGTGTTGCATGTGCATGTAACCACCACCCAGGTCAAGATATAGTACAATTCAGAATCCCAGCAGGCTCGCTTGTGCAATCTCTCCATCACTACCTCTTCTGCCACTTTGACTTCTAGCACCATATACTGATTTTACCTGGTTTTGAACTTTATATAAATAGACTCCATCTAGTATGTACTCTTTGGTATCTGGCTCCTTTCACTGAATATCGTCTGTGAGAGCCATCTACGTTGTGTACGGCAGTAGATTGTACTTTTTCATTGCCACGTACTATTCCGTTGTATGAATTAACCACAATTTAATTATCCATTCCACCATTGATGGACAAATAGGTTGTTTCAAGTTTGGGTATATTATGAATAACCTTAACCTCTCCCCCAAAGAAAACCCCAGTCCACAAAATAGCATTCTTGTCTCCCACATGCATGCACATAC